TTTGCCAGAGCATTTATCTGTGTTTATTTTGGGCTCGCAGCCAGCAATAGCCGGGACTGATAAAAATATTCCTTTGAAGTTCTGTTTGGCTTTCATTTCTGAATGGGCAAGGTGGGGGTCAGAACAGGTTTCCAGTAGATGCCAATGTCAACTCATAAAGTTGCCAGGTATGTTATATACCGGTCGATGTAGAAGTTATGCAAAATACCCATCTCATTTTTTCCATGGTTTTATTCATCAGCGGCTCATAAACATTCGTATATTTTCGGTGTTTCGGGCTTCTTGGTATGAAGTGGATTTAGCATCAATGCATTTATAGAACCCCTCTCCCCCCCATTCACACAACATTGTTCCTTCGTGTTGAAGATCTGCACACAAGACGCCACTCAATAAAAGCTAAACCAAGCTGCTCTTCCACTGTAGGAGCTACCCTCTCATAAATAAAATAAAGACAAAATTTCATACATAGGAGATCAAAGTAAAGAAAAATAATACTTTTTTTTTTAAAAAAAGGAAAAAAATACACGAGAAATCTTAAAAGCAGGTTATGCCGGAGAGAAGTGCGGTTGGCTGGCAGTGACGAGTCCTGGTGATGCTGGAAGAGTGTCCAATGGAAGCCTTCAACGTTTTCACCTGGTCAAAATGTCCATCCATAATGTGCTTGAATGTGCCCAGAATTCTCATGAAACTCATCGTCCTTCCTCTTCTCTTGCTCTCTGTTTATTGAAGAGGCTTCCAGATCTGATAATCCAGGGACCTTCTTACAAGTTGTCCTAGTAGTAAGCGTCTTCATAGGCATCAGTTCGTTGGCAGTAAAGTATGGCTGCTCCCAGCATAAAGATGGCCGAACCCCAACCCAACCCATATCCCCAGTTGAACTCATGGTAGCTTCTCAGCGGGCTACTGTCGATGAACTTGATGGGGTAGAGAATTAAGGCACAGATCTGGAGAACCACTAGATCAATGGAACAATAGGAGAAACAAGTTCTGTTAAAACCACTGGCCAAGTTGTCAATATTTACCCAGGAGTGGAGGTGGGGGGGCTAGAGAATGAGAAAACCTACCTGCTGCAAAGAGAAGAATTGACACTATCCGATAATAGTATTTATAGTTCCCCAGGCACAAAGCTATCAGAGACATGAGGAATGACAGCAGAGTGATGGTGGCAGCTGTCAGGATTAACACCAGGGTAGTGATTTGCCAGTCTGCAAAAGAAAAGGCAGAAGAATAAGAAAAGGAGAAAAAAAACAAACGAAGAAGAAACTTCAGTCACAGTCAGTATCCATGGTAGGCAAATAATACGCAAATAATATTATATTGGGGATTGGGTCCTTTTGATTTGCTTCTTTAATTCAGAATAGAATGGAATGGAATGGGAGTCGAGTAGAGTCGAATAGAATTCAGAATAGAATAGAATAGAATTCAGAATAGAACAGAACAGAATAGAATAAGAGACTTGGAAGGAACCTTGGAGGTCTTCTAGTCCAACCCCCTGTCTAGGCAGGAAACCCTATACCATTTTGGACAAATAGTTATCCAACATCTTCTTAAAGACTTCCAGTGTTGGGGCATTCAGAACTTCTGGAGGCAAGTTGTTCCACTGATTAATTGTCCTAACTGTCAGGAAATTTCTTCTTAGTTCTAAGTTGCTTCTCTCNCTCAGAAGCAGTGGGAGGAGCCAGGCCAAAAGCCAAACTACAGGATTTTCAGATGGCTCTTAAAAAGCTTCAGGGAGCTAAAGATGACAACTAAGGTCTTAACCTAGAACATTAATGGCTTAAATTCTCCACAGAAAAGGAAAAAAATAAATCATTATTTGAAACAAAAAAGTTTTTAAAAGTTCCAATGATTGCGGAGCACAGCTGATTGTTGGAACTTTTTTTTAACTTTTTAAAGCATTTTTTTTTACTACCACTATAGGCGAACCCACCCGAATTGGTAGCATTTCAACCCTGACAAACTCTATTTGTTCTGATCTTTTTTTTTTTTTTTTAACTGACAACCAGAAATGGTTAATTCATTTATTCCATTTCCTCATTTTCCTATATCTGCCTAGAAAAGTGGAAGAAAAGATAGTGGAGCACAACGTACCTTTTGAGAAGTAAGATATGATTTTCAGCAGATGGATGAGTAATTTGTGCTTTTTTCTGAATCAGTTGCTACTGACAACTTTTTTTAAAATGATATTTAAAAAACCCTCTTTGCATGCAACTCCTTGGCAAAGAAAAATAAAGCTGGATTATTACCTCCCCTCCCCCCTAGGTTTAATGGAAGTAATTCAGTCCATCATTATAGACAAGCATGTTTGGTTTATTATTAATTAGTGTTGTGGTTTGTATAACAAACAACATTGCTATGCTTATCTTTTACAATGCCAAGATCGTTAAAGTACAAGGTTAAGTCACAATATCAAAACATATATGCGGTAGGTATTGACTTGCAAGTTAATGTAAGTTAATGACTGATTAAAGTTATGAAGGACTTCAGAAAAGCTACTTATGACCCATCCTTGAATCTACAGTCACATGACCATCATTTGTGATTTATTTATTATTTCCCCCCATTTTTCCCATAGAAAAAAAAGCAAAAAAATCACCCATTGGGTGTGCAGGATTTGCTTAATGACCACATGGTTTGCTTAATGACCCTGATGATCTGCTTTATGACTGTTGTAAAAACAATTGTAAAAATCAAGTCGGGTCACATGGTGCTTATGAGCGTAATGACTGACAACCAAAATCCTGACCTCTGTGGTGGTCATAGGTTGAGGATTACCTCTATGACGAAATGGGGAGAATGTTTATGTTTATATTAGAGGAGGGGTTTATATGAGAACTGTAATTGCAATGCAATTTCATTTTAATGTATGCCGATTAATGTATGTTCAAAGTGACAATAAATTATTCTATTCTATTCTATTCTATTCTATTCTATTCTATGTTCTGGTTCTGGTTCTGGTTCTGGTTCTGGTTCTGGTTCTATTTCTATTTCTATTTCTATTTCTATTTCTATTTCTATTTCTATTTCTATTTCTATTTCTATTTCTATTTCTA